ATTCTTTAGTGGATTCGACATGGAAATGTAGACATTTTTATATCAATAGATAGGTGAGGGCATGCTGATTCCGAATATATCCTTTCCAATCGTTGAAAGCAGCTGTGTGAAGAAAAAATTACATTTTTGTGCATACATGTCATAGTTTTCGATATTCGTATTGCAGTTTTCGTGTCCTCCTTTCTCTACTTAGGAGTGAACATGAAAATAGACATTCATACACCATTGGATAGAGAATTCAAAGGGCTACATTTTACACTATTTATATTTGAAAAAAGAACAAATCGACTTTTTCGCCTAATGTCTGCTTGGATGCCCACTGTGATGCGTCTCCGTAGTGTTCAGCAATTTCAGTTTCTAACAAATTTTTTAATTCATTAATCAAAGCTTTTTCTATTTCCATTTGTTTTTCAATACTTTCCTTAGAAAGTAATTTATTTTTCTGATTTGTTTGTCGGGTGAATGTACTCGTATCGAACCTAGTGTAATGAAAGCTAAAACAGCACACTATAGTATCGAAAACAATGTCATTTTAAATTAAATTGTATTGCTATTTTTCTGACAGATTTTGTTCCAATGTGATCCTTTAGGGAGCTTACTCGGGAAAAGTCTCTACTGGTAAATAAAAAAGCAAATTCTTTTTTCTCATATATACCAAAGGAAACAGCTTTTGACAATGTGGATGGAAGAAGAGAAAATAGAGAGGATAACAGACCGTATAAATTTGGCAAGAAACCTTGTTGTTATGAAAAAGAGCTGCTGTGCGATTCTACATTGCAGACCAATGATACTTAGATATTTCTTTTCTTTCCTTCTTAATAATTTCAACATAAACTAAAATGTCCAAAACACTTTGACACTTCTTGTACAAGAACAAGTATTATTCATACATCTTTAGTGGCAATATAAACAAACGCATGTTTGCTAACGATAAAGTAAAACGTTTTTTCTTCCATTCATGAACAAAACGTTTATACAATTCACCTGTAAATGATTCACGTACCACTGCAATAGAAATAAAATTGCGATTAGAAAACAGTTTATTTAAATGGTAGTGAAATGTCTGCAACCCGTTCTTCATCCAAATTATGTTTTGCACGAATCTATCGATTCACTGTACATCAGCAGGTGCCACAAATCTTTGACTTTTACCTCATAAGAAAATCCCAAAACATCAGCTGTCTTTAATAAAATACTCACAATAAAATAATTAAGTTCTAAATCGCACTCACATGGTTGTAATCGCAGTAAAATATCTCATGTGCAAAGCGTAAATGTTCAAATAAACTCTAGTATTTAGGCGTCAACAGATAGGAAAGTTTTATGTAAGAGAATTCAAAGTACTTCATTCGAAAGGACAATGACGAGCACGGAACGACAACGTTCTGCAGCGTATTGATCTAGTATTTCCTACTACTAGTCATCTTTTCTGTTCTTCATTTACTATTCATTCTTGACGATTTTTTGTCTTTGTCCACAATCAAAGCACTTTGATCAAGAAGAACAAAAATCCGTTACTGTCTAACTGATGCAGTCTCTCGAAGTGATAAAGACTGTAGAAAAGCACAAGCTGTGCTGATACGCACTAAAATATGAAACAAACCTTTTAAAACACAAATCAAGAAGGTTTTTTAATTTATTAAACAACGCTTAAAAAACTTCATACCTCAACTTCTGAAGTTTCAATTGTCTTTCAACGTTTAACACGGGAAAAACCGGCTGTTCACAAAAGTGCCTCTGGCGACGTTATTTTCATTTCTACGTAAAGGCAAATGATGCCACTATGCGCACCGTAGTTGACTACCTATAGTCCACGGCATTTTGAGATTCCCAGAGATGTCTGCTCGGAGATAGACAGGTGCTCGGGGAAAGCGTGTCCTGTCCGAGCGACGATAGCTGGAGAGCCGGGATCTGCATAATTTTGTAGAGTAACATCCAGACTATTTACGCATGCAAAAAAAGTAATAACACTGTATGTTAGTTTTCCGAGAACGGAGCTGGTTTTCCAAAGACCCTCTGGGAACCCAAATTTTGAAATTTTTTCAAACGTTGTTTCCGCTTGTGAAAAGTTCCGCTGAAGTCTTGGCTGTCGAACAGCGAAAACCGAAGGTCGTTATCTCATTTTCGTCAAAAGTTATCCAAAAAATACCCACCCGCACTGTATTTTGGGATGGATAGTAGAAGTTCGGTTTTGCGGTACCTTATAGATGACATAGCTACATAGCTACTTACGTAACTTCTGTTACGTAAATCCTTTCACTGTATCTTGCAATAAACAATTTTTCTTTTAAAAACAGAAATATGGTATTATAAAAACTGAAATGGTTCCCTAATCGCTACAAAACGCTTTTTTAGTTTTTCTCCCGCTTAATAGCCATTTTAGAGTGCATAAAGCTACTATCCGTTTCAAAAAACAGTGCACTCAGAACTCGAAAACGGAAAGAGGTAATGGGCTAAATTACGAGTGCACTGCTTTTTAAAACGGATAGTAGTACATCTCTTTTTGACTAAAAGCAGTCGGTAGAGCAACAAGAATACTAATAGAATAAAGTTTTCTCATTTTGAGGTCATGGACATTGTACGTAAATGGTGCTTTAGAGGTTTAAAATCTTCTTTTATAGCGGCAGCAGCATCATACAGTCTTTGTATGTAAACTGGAGAAGAAAGATGTCAGAGACAATTTTGTAATACAGTTATAGTAAACACTCTGAAGAATAATATGATAAAAATCTCGCCTTCATCGGATAAGCGACCGAACATCGGAAAAACAAATATAAAAATTCTGTTGACCGAGAGTTCATAATCCAAGTATAGTCTGACAAAATTTCAGAATGATTATTCGTTGAAAATATATTATGAATATCTCAGTAACTATTTGGGTTGTAAAACTGCGATTTGCGGCAAAAAACTTGCTATTGATTGTACTTTTGACCTATGTAATTAAAATCAGCTTTGGAGAAAGATGATTGAGCAGGTTCTGCAGCACTTGGTCGTCGCTTATCTGCAATGGCTCTTAAGAACACATTTTTCTATTTATTAACTTAATGATTAAATATTTTACTTATAGATTACTTATCAAACTTAGCAAAAATTTTAATTGTTGAGAGAAATTAAAATAATTGAGCATCTGTTAATTTTATTAAATGTTCAAATTATTTGCTGAGTAGATACAAGTTTTACTTAGCAAAAAATATTAGTCATAATAAAATAACATAGTTGCTTGTCTCTATACCAATGTACCGTAACACTGACTCATACAATCACCTGCTGGATAACTGTTAGGTACAATCAGTACTTCTGTCGTTAATTGAGCAGAATCAGAAAAATTAATTTGAATAAAAAATCCTTTCCAGCCGATTGCAGGGTTTGCAATTGTCATTGTGTAAACAATTGTCGTACTGTCAACTATCTAAAAGAGAGAGAAACATAATGTCTGTCTACTTCACTATAATATATGCATACCTGTTGATTAATTGTTTGTTTCACCCAATTTTTCGATGAACGAAAATCACGTCTAGTTTAACAAAAGCAAAATTTTCTTAAAATCCATAATCCCAGGTCAACTCATACTCATCCTGATACGTTTGATACCTGACGGCAATGTTGCTCTTTGTGATCACTTTGAGGCTCGTTGACGTTAAGGATTACACTTGACCGCGTCAAATCAAGTCAAAGTTGACTTGAAAGAAGTTTAAATAATGTGCAGGGAAAATGAAACAAAATCGAAGCATGGTCAAAAGCTATCATCGTTCAAACGAGTGTCCTTCAATTCTCCATACAAAATTATATCGACGAACTTTTATATGTAAACCTTAGTGTCTTATGCATTATGGCAAACTAATTACTGTTCATGTTCAAAACATAGTGTAGTCGTTGAATAACTCCGCAATGCAGGTAGCTATCGAGTTCGGGTTTTCACCGATGGAAAGAGGATGGATGGGAGTATCTGTTCAGCTCAGACTGAAAATCGTCTAAAGGTTTTTTAGGCGATCTCTGGAAAATCATTGACTAATTCCTTTCATTAAGTATATTTTCTATCTCAATTTAGCCATGCTGTAGTTCAATGTCTACTCTACGATTCTGCGCAAGGCGGACCTCTCTATCCCTTATGGTTCTGGGATGGTAGACATTTTCCAGAGACATACGTATTTGTGAACATTAGGTCTGGCAACTTCGGGGACAAGTGGAAACGTAGGTTACCGACCACGCTGAGCCTTGTAGCACTGTGTGTTTTCAGAAGAAAGTCCAGAAACGCAGATGAGAACCTAGTTTAGGTTAAATAACCCATGTTGGGCTATTTTCAGGTAAAAAATTCATAATTCGCTCAAGATCGCTTCAAGCCACTTCACAATATCAACATGTACTCTCTTTTATCTAGACTATATTATACAACTTAAACAAAGTTATACAAATTAATAGAAAGCATCTTGGTTTTGGGGAAAGCTAGCCGGTAACTTTCTGAAGTACGTTTAGTAGAGAATGCTGTGGAACGGATATAATTTTGTATGGAGAATTGAAGGACACTAGTTTGAACGATGATAGCTTTTGACCATGCTTCGATTTTGTTTCCTTTTCCTTGCACATTATTTAAAACTTCTTTCAAGCCAACTTTGACCGGGTCAACGGCTTGTCTAGTTACCGACTCCAATCTTTTGCGCTTTTTAAAAAGTTATTACAATAAAGTTGCAAATAGGTATGTTACAAACCCAAGCGACTTGGATGTATTGGTTTTGGGTATTGGGTATCCAAGTGATGGACTTGGGTTTGGGTCAGTTGCCAAAGTACATTAATATTCTTCTTCGATAAAACTTAGCAGTAGTACCTTACTTTCTTCTGCCATACTATTCATTTATCTTTTTCTCATCATCGTCCGTGGTTTCGGTTTCAAAACTTCACTTTTTTTCTTTAGTTTTCCGTATTCTTTTACATCATTTTTTATAGTGTACACCAATCATTTGTTGACATATGTGTGGCATGTTATCAGTGCTTATTTCTTTAGTATTTTTCTCTGTTTCAAGGATCAGTATGATATGAACAAGATAAGTAGAATAAAACATTCAAGTGTTGGATATTTGAACTAATCCAAAATGAGCTCTTATCGTTAGCGTTAGGCATTACGTATGCCCACAGGCCGAAATAAACATCTTACATCCTGTTTTCTCAAAGAGCCACAACAAAAGAAGGTATCTCAGTTAAAAGGAGTCTTTTAATAACCCAAGTCTCAGACTTGGGTACCCAATACCCAAACCCAAGTCTCAGACTTGAGTACCCAATACCCAAACCCGAGTCTCAGACTTGGGTACCCAATACCCAAACCCAAGTCCAGACTTAGGTTTGGGTTTGTAACATACCTAGTTGCAAATAAATCTAAAATGGCAACTAGATAATTAAGTAGATTAAACATTTCTCTACAAAATCAAAAGTGTCTCGGCTCTGAACGTTGATTCGTTATGAAAATACAGCTGTTATACAGACAAAAAGCGTATCTGAAAGAGTGAAAACGAGCTGGCAAAATTGAACAAGTATGCCAGTTTGTGGAAAATTGTTTGCTCTACAAGATATGATAGCTTGTCAAGCTCGAAACTATTCTAATTAATCTGTTACTTTTTGAAAAAGAACCAAAAATGGGGCCGTTAGCTGGACAAGCCGTCAGGTGTGATCGAAAGGATTATCCTTAACGCCGACGAGCCTCAAAATGATCACAAAGAGCAACATTGCCATCGGGTGTCAAACGTATCAGGATGAGTATGAGTTGAGCTGGTATGGTGGATTTTAGGAAAATTCTGCTTTTTTTAAACCTGACGCGGTTTTCGTCCAGTCAGTTCAGAGTTATTCAACAAACAACGGACTGCACTATATTTTGAAACGAATAGTAGTATTACTAAACACACCTTCAGGTTACTGCAGAATGGCCTATTTCGTCTTCTGATCATATCTTAGCGACGATCTTTGACCATTTGTCTATAGTATTATCTCATTCAAAAAACTCAAAAATCTGAATGGAAGTCTGCTGTTTGATTGATAAAGATGAGTAAAGACCAAGGTTTTCCTACTTGTTTTGGCAAAAGTGAGAGGACTTCCTTCAAAAATAAAAAAAGTAACTAACAATCAAAGAAACAGAAAAAGAGCTCGTAGTTTAAATTATCTACAGATACCGTCATCTTATCGTATAGAGTTTTCGATTTACACAAGGCGCCTATAGTCTAAGAACTACGGATTTGCTGAAATTGCATCTCAAATAAAGAAGGGAAATAGCGGACTACTGGACTCCCACGGACTCCTGAAGTTCAGGAGTCCAAGACCAAAAGTGTCCATTTTTTGGGAAGTGATTGGACTTCAGGAGTCTGTGGGAGTCCAGGAGCCCGCTATTTCCCCCTTGGTTTTTCCTTAAGTCGTATTTAGCAACTTTTTTAGACCAAAACAATTCCAACTGAGATATTCAAATCCAGTTTTATTGAAAGTAAAACCAAACTCTCCTGAAAAGATTGTTTTTGAATGCGATAGTTTTCTAAAAAGCAGTAAGAATATAGAAAGAGACTAATAAGGGCTGCATTTTTTGTTCAAAAAATTAAGTAAGTTGATCCGTGCTGATGTTTTTAACTTGAAACAATTTCTTTTAAAAAACTACCGATCATATTGCTGTATACAGTCCTTTCAGTTGGTTTCCAATACCAGAGTCCTCATGAAAAATGTTCCATGAATGCGAAAAACTGAATTACCAGAGACCAATTTTCTAGTTTTTGTGAGCTATAATTCCAGTCTATCTGAAATTCTTACAATACGATCATCTTATGCAAACAAAAGCTCTATACTATGAGTTGACAGCATCTGTGGATAGTTTCAATGTTTTCGCCGTGTCTTAGAAAGTCTAATTTAGTGTTTGGACAGGACCACATGATGTTAGGTCCAATCAAAACATTTTTGACTATATTATAGCTTTTTTCGCTTTTTCTGAGCTATCGGTAAAGAATGAAGGGATTTCAATTAGTAAAATTTTACACTAAGATTTAAGTGCTAACTGAGACCAAGAACGTGATTTGTGCACCCTGGTTATACCGGTTAGTGTTTGCTGTTGTTGCTTGATAACCCGTTGCACTTGATGGTTTTAGCCCTTTTGGACACTCTACCGTTGCTACAATTGTTCCGTGTGTTGCATTTAATGATTTTTGCCAATGAAATTTTGGAAGTTCTTGGTTCTAAATGTTTAAAGAGCGGAAAAGACGTTAGATTGTGTTGAATACAATACGTACATCAGCAATCATTTGAAAAAACGTGATCATTGTCGTACTAGACCCTGCACCGTGGCCTTGATTTGGTACATAGCTGAATATATCAAAAATTCAATCTGTTAATGGGAGATAATTTAAGTAAATCAATAAGTTTAAGTATAGCAGCTTCCACGGCTTTAGACATTTCAAAAGACTTGTCTTGACTCAAACACAGTTTACTGTTGTCGACGCTTCGACTTATCAAAAGTCATTTTCAAGACGAAATTTGCAGAGAGAAAAGTGAAACTACATTCGAAAAAATAGAAGTTATAACACAGTTCGCTTCTTTCATATGCTCGCATATGCATATGCGGACAAGCAACTACTATACAGTGTCAATGGAAAAGGTGGTCAACTGTGGAATTAAAATGTAATTTCACTTTCTCTCTGTAAATTTCGTCTTGAAAATGACTTTTGATAAGTCGAAGCGTCGACAATAGTAAACTGTGTTTGAATCAAGACAAATCTTTTGAAATGTCTAAAGCCTTCAAAGCTGCTGTACTCAAACTTATTGATTTATATATCAAAAGTATCCTAGATGTGTTTTGCTTAAACAAATTATTCTTACTTTAATAAATTTGTACCTCCAGTTGCTAGTGTCAAATTATTCCAAAACAAATTCTAAATGAAATACTAAATATTTGGTGCTTGTGTGTGTAGATGTACGTCTATACTTCATTATCGGGAAGAAAGAATTCATCACTAGTTCCTTGTATTTGTAATAATTTTGTGTTTCTATATCGATCAATGTAACCTAGAACAGAGAGAGTATTTGATAATAACATCTTTAGCCAAAAAGCAGGATAGACGTACTGTATGGATCAATTATCTGTGCCATGTCTTCTAATTGTGAACTATGGGTATATCGTGTTATATTTTCTTGATAATAATCTTTAAACGCAAATGTCCAACCGTTAAGCGACTAAAAAGAGGAATAGATCAAAATTTAGTTCATTTTTGATGACTGGTATTAGAAATGTACAGTTATGTTGAGGGAACTGGGAATGAATGATTCACAAAGTAAAACAATGAAGTTTATAATTCTCGTGCCTTTGATCGGAAACAGCGTAAAATAGTTCATAATAGCTCAACAACTGAATATCTACTGCAAATCATTTGTATTGTGAGCGTCTGTTTTCGTAACAGATCTACATCTTCTTGTTCTTCGTTTTCAAAAGCAATCGTTCACTTTTCCTAAAACTTAACTGCGGTAAAATTTCTTTGTTCGTAGTGTTTCTGCCGTTTTACGCTTCCTCTTTTCATATTCTTGGGTACACCGGTGATTGATTCCATAAAGCCAGCAAATAGCGTGTTTGATTGTAATAGCTAGAGTCAAGTAATGATAGAAACAGTTTACCCGATAGTGATGAACAAAACTCGATGGTAAGTTTAACATATTCATAACAACGGGTATTGCACCAATAACTCGTTTATTATCAACGGCTGCTGTTAACCATGCTATACATATAAAGAACCGATGTGAGGAGAAGAGAATCCATTCTATATTCCTTACTTGCCCAGCCACGCTGAAAGAACATAACAGAATAATATAATGAATTATAAAAGATCTAGCTCACATACCTTTGATACACCGGTAACAACAAATTTTTGCGGTACGCTTACAGAAATATCTGCAATGAATTCTTGCGCAGCATCCATTGCTTTAACACATGCCTTTTAAACAAATTAAAAAGATTAAAATACTGAGAAATATATTTCTATACCTTTGTCATTGGCATTTGTAATAATACAAATGGATTATTTATTATCTTATTTTTGTTATCTAGAAATGTTTTCCACGTCCATGCTATTTGTTGATCTTCGACACGAGATTTTTTTGATGGATCATTCTAAAGTAGAAAATCAATATTTCTTGCTGCAGTTTATCGGAATAACTTACATTAAATTTAATTGGTTGATTTGGTATTTGTTGTAAGTCGACAACAATACTTCCAATTGTTTTAGCAACGGAAACAGATTCTGCAATCGATGTCTCCGTGGGAATACTAGAAGAAGCAGATATACAACATCTTGTGAAGATCCTGGCAATAGGTTCGAAGAACAGGCGTGGGGTGAGAAAGAGAAGTATCTCAATCTTTTGCACCAGTCTCCTCCCAATTTGGTATCTGTAATGAAATACTCTTCAAACTTTCAGTGTCTATTAATTGGCTGTTCGATCTAGACTTAGCATGAAAACAGATTTCTGTTTAGGAATCTCACAAATAAGATTTCTTTGTCATCTTTTTACATCTATTTTGACTAATGAAACGCGAAATTTCATTTCATCTGTACGCTTTCTTACTAATTTGTCATTCAAATAGTATGGAAAACAACTAGTTTAACTTCAAGGTAATATACAGCAATTTGGATAAAACGAGAAATAATAAAGGAAATGGCATAATTTTGGTCAACAAAACTGCGACCGGTACTAGCCTAGCACCGAGCAGATTCCTGTTGACCGAATCGGGCTGCAACTTTTCTAAAAGTTTTCACCAGTAAGCGACCGATACTTGGATTGAAAAAATTTTTTTGGGATGATGAAAAAATATGAATATACAAGCAAAGAATAATGAATGCGATTGTTTTCTTACTTTGAGCAGTACAAAATGCTATTAAGTCTACCTTTTTTTTTATCGTATCTTTTAATTATAAGCTTACTGAGCCTGGTACAGCGGTTGGTTTGGGACTGGTAAACGGGCCAGTTGATAAGTCTTGATCGGACCGGAAACGGCCGTCCAGTTCAGTTTCATCTTGCAATTCGCTTATGTGGGAACTTGCTTAACGAATAAGCAAATTCCCGAATTAGTTGATTCCCAAGTAAGCGAATAAGCGAATTCTCTATCCTTAAATGAATTATGGTATGGGAATTCGGGATGTATCGCTACTCAAAGTTTTGAAAAAGCATCCCAGTTACAGAAATTTCTTTTTATGCTGAAATCATGAACACGATCACGGAGAAAAGTATGTAACAGATTTTGTTTCATTTATACGATCAGAAAACATGGTTCAGATCCCGATAATTGTACATTCATTAATTGTACATTTAGTATTTTGTTTATATCTCACGACGGACCCTTCCCAAGTGTCCAACTGCTGTTTCCTTAAAACATACATGTTTCACAGTGGGCATCCAAGCGGACATTAGGCGAAAAAGTCGATTTGTTCTTTTTCCAAATATAAATAGTGTAAAATGTAGCCCTTTGAATTCTCTATCGAATGGTGTATGAATGTCTATTTTGATGTTCACTCCTAAGCAGAGAAAGAAGGGCACGAAAACTGCAATACGAATATCGAAAACCATGACATGTATGCACAAAATGTAATTTTTTCTTCACACAGCTGCTTTCAACGATTGGAAAGGATATATTCGGAATCAGCATGCCCTCACCTATCTATTGATATAAAAATGTCTACATTTCCATGTCGAATCCACTAAAGAATCGGTAATGGAGTATACCCAGTTTCATTCGAACTGACACGACCTCAATATAGTCGAGTTCCACGATTTTCCTGACCTCGAAAATAACAATAAAATATATCAATATGTTTCCGAACACCCACTCTATCTACAGTGCATGCGACTTTTTATCTAAGTCGAATTATCGATTTTTCAAAACCCATACGGATTTTACGGTATTTCGAGGTTTTTCTGGCCACGAAAGTACTTTTATTCAAAAATAATATCATATCCGGAATCAGCGTGAAAAATTGCATTGAATGGTGTATAAATCATCTAGTTTCGATCGCTTGATTTTGAGTTCTAGAAATTTCTTAGTTTTTGAGATTCACACAAACAATTTCGTGCTGAAAATTTGAATTTCAAGATAAAGTAACCTGANTTTTCAAAATCCAACTCTCATGCCATTAGAAAGAGGATCATGAAAAACCTATAAAAAAATGGTTCATGAAATTTTAGTTCACTCATAAAGCTAAAGTCCGCCTGCTCTAGCAAAAAATGCCCACTGTGCGTTTGTGGGTAGTATTTGATGCCGACGAATCTGATGTCCGTTTCTGCTGCTAGGCCTTTCTGGGGTGCGCCTCTGGAATCGAGTATTCGAAAACCCGCTATGAACTAGCTGAACGAATTTTGGCACTGCCAGATTGTAGAGCACGTTGAATTACCTACGTGGAAAAAGATTCAGAACCAACAAACCAGTTTTCGCAGAGACAGAAAAATCTTACTTTCTAATCCAGTAGAAAAACAAAATATTTCAGTTTTTTGAACCCTAAAATTTTATCTCTGCAAAAGCTTGTTCATTGGTTCTGATCATTTTCTCATGTAGGTAATTCAACGTGATCTACAATCTGGCGGTGCCAAAATATATTCAGCCGAAAGTTTATAGCGCGTCTTCGGACACCCGAATTTTTGAGATCGACCTCGGAAAGGTCTAGCACCAGAAACGGATATTAGATTCGTGATCAGCGTCAAATAGTACCCATAGTCGTGTATTTTTTAAGAAAAAAGCAATACAGAGGACATCAAAGCCTACATATGGTGAAAAAATCTCACTCTTATCATTCTTATTGACGGAGTAACGGTATTTTTACTCTTTCTATTTTCCGGCGCCAAAGTTTTATACTACGCACTCACGAAAACCCTTTCTGTATCTCTGAAACTTGTGGTCCAAAAAGGTTAAAATTTTGGATCAACAGATTTTCGCGTATACTCCACAAGGTAAGAATGGTTAGGAAATATCTGAGATCGTCAATGAGCATGCTCTTATGACATTCTGTCGCTTTTATTGTGCAGTGATCCTTAACAGCTATCCACTGTCTTCTCTCAGAGTCTTCACTCCCGTCTTAGCAATACTAGCAGGCAAAATCATTCACAAACTCGTCATTGAGCACTAATGAAATTGTAGCTTACAGGTCACGATAGGCTGACCACCAGCGGCTAACCCTTAAACGCTTCACCGTAGGGACGAGACTTTCAGTACGTTCTTTCTACCCTAAACTTACGCTGCTCCACTGTTACCATTATCAACCCATAATAATGCCGTGTTAGTTCGAATAAGATTTGACGGTATAACAATCGAAACGTAATGTTGCCATATTGGGCGAGATGAAAATGTTTCTAAAAGCAAGTACATATTATGTCAGTGATGAAACATATCCTTGCAATCTACTGCGATTCAAACTATTATACTATTATAGAACAGTTCGAAAAACGTCTCTAGTGCAACTAATTAGTTCTGGGTAAGTTACTCTGTTGAACAGAAATTCCTGAAAATTATTTCTTCGGTTACCATTTTATCCACTCTTGTTCTGTTCTGCTAACTGTGTAGTGTTGTTCTGTGCTTTGTTTCTTTCTGTTCTCTCTCTCTCGAAATCCGCGTCAAAGTAAATTTTATATGACGCGATTGTTTTACAACTTACCGTCTAACCATTTTTGTGATGTTAAATTTAGTATGTAAGCATTATAGTCTTTATTTTGGTATTGTCGGATTAAATTCCATTTATAGTAGGGATCAGGTGCATTCACATAATCATCAAGCGGTGTTCCACTGATGGAAATAATTACCACAACAATAGCGATCAAAACGGCTATCACTTTCATTATAGATAATCGATTGCTGCTACTTTACTATTTTCACATGTATATAACATCATGCACCTGTGTGAAAAAATGCATCTGTGTAAGTGGGTGTTAAACACAAAAAAAACTTGAGTACATTTCTTAGAGTTAAGGTTACACTTCTTAGAGTAAATACTACAGCAAGTACATATGAACAAAATCATCGCCAGTTCTTTTTGCAAGCTCTTCCATTTAATTTCTGTTTTTTTCCACTCATCATCTTCAAATAATTTTGTCTCAGTTCACCTTGTCTTTGTTTCATAAAGATTCTGTTCCCCCTATTACATACAGTTCGAGTTTTCGCCGTTGAAAAGAAGAGATCTTGAAACACATTTTATTAACAGATACCAGGTTGAAAATATTTTTTAAAGTAGATTTTCGAGTAGATCTTTGGAGAACTTCAGGATGTACACTATTTCGGCTATTCTATATCTTACTGATAGGAAATCTATAAAAGCTAATTTACAAAACCCTTTGTTTTGTAGAAAGGATTTCCAGAAAACTTTTGATCAAAAACATGCTTTTTCAACTTTTCGGTCGTATAATCATGTTAAACGGCTAAAAGCAGCTACAGTCTGATGTTTCCAACTCGTTCTGATGTTTTTCGAGGGAATGGTGAATTTTTTGATATTACGTGAAAATAGCTTGGAAACCCTAGTTTTGATAAAACTCAATTTTCACTCGATTTTAGGAATCTCTTCTCAAAACACGTATTGCCATCAGACTCAGCGTGATCGATTACGTATGTTCCATCCAGTCTCGAGATTACCTCAAGCCGCTACGTATCAGACTAATTGGTTGTTCCGCCATTGCTACGAGTGAAGAGTCAACATACCACTGTATTAATCAAAGAAAAACCGTGACACCGTGACAAAAAACGGTCAAAAGTGCCACGGTGTCACGGTTTTCTGGTCTTTCTTTGCTTAATACAGATTAATCATAATAGTTTCGAACTTGACAAGCTATCACACTTTGTAGAGCAAAAAATTTTCTACAAACTGGTATACTTGTTCAATTTTTGTCAGCTCGTCTTCACTCTTTTAGACACGCTTTTTAGATAGCCTGGGTTGCGGTTAATTTTTTCTTTTTGTGCAGCACGTTTCTAAGCCTACAACTTCATTACTATATGAGCTAGCGGGGTCAATCAATAGTCATTTTGTGGAGCGTGTTTTATTGCATCTTTTCTTCATAAGGACAAATTTACAACCACTTGTTTCACTATAGAAAAATTTATTATTCAACTCGTATCAAGACTTCTGGGACACCCTTTATCCCTCAGGAAAAAATATGTTGATATGCTTTTATTTCTGTAAATGTGAAAAAGCCACAGAAAAATAAAACATGTTAAAAAATGAGCTGTCGTCACTTATGGATATTTCAACTGAATAGTAAAAACATATGAGCAAGAGCATCCCAAACGTTTTTAATAGAAATTGCAAATAAACTTCATGGTGGAATTTTTTTCTGGTTATAGTTTAACACTTAAGCGAAAGATTTTGAGTAATAGAAGAAAATGGCCGCATCAGATGTTTTTCAGAATCATATCAACGGCTCGATAGACAAACGCGAATTCTGTTCACAGCAGATCGTAATTGATTTGAACAAAATATTAAATTCAGAAGAAAATTTTCAAAAAACAAGAAAACGCTATTTTTCAAAACGGAATAAGGTTCCGAAATGCGTCTAAAACAATCGAAAAGGTCTTTTTTCAAACGCTAGAGAGTTTTCTACCTTTCGAAAACCGAAGGATTTTATAGGAAATAATTCAAATACCCGAAAAGGTATTTTCTAAAACCGACAAATGAATATCTTGATACGTTTTAAGTTTTGGAAAGTGTTTGAGAAAAAAAGAGTTTTATATAATACCTTTCGGGTATGAGAAAGTTTTTTGTTTTTTCCAAGGGTTTTCGAAGGTTCAAGTACGCTACGTATATTCTCAAATACAAAAACGAGTTTTCGAGATCATTTCGAATACCGAAAATAGTTTTTGAAAGGGTTTTCGAAGCGTTTAGGGTTTTCTAGTATACGCTTCTTATTTACAGTGCAGTTAGACAGTCACGTGCCTTTCATATGAGAATTGAGTTGAAGTTTGACCGCCGAAAGATAGCTCAGAGTTAGTGCAAGAAAACAGTGAAAGAATATTGAGGACTTTGTCACGACTATACACGAAATCATTCAGACAAACTCTGATATTTAGTCAAGAGGTAGGAAAGTTTTATTTAAGGGAATTCAAAGTACTTCATTCGAGAGCACAATGACGGGTATGAGACCACAACATTCCGAAGCCTATCGATCTAATATTTTCTATTACTACTCATCTTTTTCCTTCTCCATTCGTGATTAACAAACACACCCTCCCCATTTTACCAGCCACGTTCACTGTTCAGCCTAACGCGCATGAAGAGATTACATTTTTTCAAGTTTTGAGCTCTGTTTCTCTTCTAATACTGAACAAAAGTTGACAAAGTCTTTATCAAAGATGTGTGGCAGGATGCTTGATTTGTCATAAAAATTTGAAATGAATCGAATCAGCACAACGGTTTTTAGAAAAAGATCATATAGAAAACTAATTTCCTACAGGACCGGGAATGTGACCTCTAGTAAGCAGATGATAAGTAGTTTTTGAAAC